GCACAGCTCATCTCTCTGACCAAGAACGTGAATTATTTTCAGCCAGTTCCACCAGTGACATCCAGGAGATGAGAAGAGGTAACTATTAAGGCCCAAACTGCTACTATTTCATGAAACTTCCCTACGATATCTCCCACGATAAGTAATCAAATATCTGTTCTAGAAGCAGAAATACAGAAGTGTTGTGGATGGACACCAGTTAGCTGCAAGACCATCTTTTAATTAATTCCTGCACTATATGTCCCTTTATCTGAATCTCAGATCAAAACAAACAGCCTACATAACTATGTCATCGTTTTTCAGAGATTTTTCTTTTTAATTTTTCCTTTTAAACAAGAAAAAAAGGTTGAGCGCTTGAATGTTCAAAGAACGGAAATTTCTAATATCATTTCCCCTGGTGATTTTAACAAAATTACTTTGCATATCTGTTTATCTGCGCTCATCTTTCTCATGTTGGGTGTCTCAATTTCTGTTGACTTAAATTCTCAAAATGCAATCACATATCCTCGCATTAGCTGAGACAAAATATTTATCTGTTGCTACGTTTCCATTAAATACCACCATATATTTTGATTCAAAGCTGATTGTTTCAGTCCTTTTCTGCTTGGGTTGGCATGAGCTCCCCTGATAGCTTCACCAGATGACAAACCCCTTTGCACGTGTCCATCAGCAGGCTCGGAGGTGTGTGTTTGACCATCAGCACGGCTTGCAGCCTGCTTCTCCATTCCCCTGGACCTCGAGTGGGCTTTTGGAAGGCAGATTATTTTGGACTGGTCGATATTTTTCCTAAGAAAAGCCTCTGCTGCAAGCCAACCGAAATCGAAGCCAGATGGCGAGGCCTAAAATGTCATTTAAATGTGAACTGATGAACACGGTCTCTGGGACTCTGTGGTAATTTACTTGACTTGTAGTGTGTCATGGGTAATTATCTGGCCATCTTCAAATACGTAACAATAGCGTATATCAATAAAAGTATGAGATAAATACAGTTTTCATTATGTGTGAAGGGCCTCTTATCAACGTTAAGATTTAATAATGCTCATAAATTTGCCTTTTGAATTATAGTTTTCAAAATTTGCAAGTGAGGCAAGCCCAAAAATATTCTTGGTGCCAAAAATTCACTTATTTTTATGACGTTTTTAACATTCCCTTTCCAAAAAGAGAAAGCCAACTTGCATATACTATTTCTGGCTTTTTGGATTACTTTCTAAAATAAGAGTAAAGCAAAATTTCCCCATGAGATCTGTTTTCCAGCGTACAGTTGAATTTCCCAGGGATCAGTCTGTTTCCTCACCTTTCTCAGCAAAACAATTCTGGTAGTTCATGTAATCTGAAAACTCTGCTATTGTAAAATGAACATCAGAGGATTCACGTCGTCTCAACATTGCAGGTGAGAAAAGGTATAATAAAAAAATCTCTGATAGACTATTTTATTCTTAAAAGTTTGCATGCTATAATAACTTTTTTTTCACTAAAATAAAATAAAATAAAGTTAAGAAGCAATAACTCTAATGACCCTACCTGAAACAAAACTAGCAAATCAAAGCACAGCTTTCTGTCAGTTTGAAAGTAAATGATAATTAAATTTACCTGGGCAGGCTTCCACTAACCCAGACTACAAAGCCTAAATCGCTGCTGACCTGCAGAGACTCTGACACCCAGCTCCACCCTATGGGACAGTAAGTGCACCTTAGGTCTGGTCCATTCTGGAGGGGAAAAAAAATAAGAAATTAAATGATAGAATATTATTTGGGGCAGATCTGTGTATAATTGAAATTTTGCATTAGTTCTGGCAAAGCCAGGAGAATTAAAATAATTTCCCAGCTCCTGACGAGCCAACGGAAACAATTCCTGCTGCTTTTGCATGCACCCATCATTCACAAATGAGCGCTGAATAGTTATCGTTTCGTGAATGGTATGTCTGCAGTGTGACTTGGGGAATGATGGAGACACTGCTTAGAGAAAACTATCTCCCCCATCTACTAAAGCACTCACTCGCTGCATGTGCAAAACAGGAAGAGGAAGTAAAATTGGCTCTGCCAGGACAGCTGCTCTTGAAAGCGTGGCTATTCTGTTACAGGTTGACAAAAAAAAAAAAAAAAAAAAAAAAAAAAAAAGACACAAAATGCAACGAACAAACAAAAAGGAAACCCTCTTTTTCAAACGTGCAGTCCAAGAGTCTTCGTGCCTCCTGCAGGTTCCCACCTTGTCAAGGTGGTTAACCACACGCAGGGCTTGGGGCACTACCTGCGAGATGCCGCCACCTGCCATCAAAGGCAGCGAGACTCGGAGGCGTTTGGCACAGACAAAGCCTTCTGGTTTGCATTTTGGATGGAAACCGTGTGAACCCTGTCGTCGTCAATGAAGCAGAAATAGCCTTCTTCCCTGGCTTCCCCTTCTGCCAGACATCCCCATCCCTGCCTCCTCCTGAGAAGAGTCTCGTGTGCGAAGCAGTAACACAATCCTCCAAATATTTAGGCTAACAATGACGGGATTCTCTGAATGCTGTCCTTGTGGTTCTTGCTGGCTGTAATTTATTTTATTTGCCTCGGGAAAGCCCACGAGGATCTTGGAGCAAGTGCATTATTCCAAAAAAATGTGAACTACAGGCAGTGCTGAAGTCATCCTATTGTCTTGGCTTTGGCTACCCTCAGCTCTCTTTCTATGAACAAGTGGTTAAAAAAGCTTTTATTTGCAATAGGATACAATCAACAGCTTCATGATCTGAATCACATCCTATCGGGTCTAGCCCCAGTAAGAGATGGTCCCCAGGAGAAACAAGTCCAAAGCGGAGCAGAGCTTGGTGCCCTCTTTGTGCAAGATTCAGAGAGAAGTCACTGCTTTGGGGAAGTCCCAGGAGAGGAAAGAAGCTGGTAAAAAATTTTTGCTTTATCACAAAATACTGTATTCCCAATTTCTCCTTCTTAAATAGCTGGTGTCAAAGCAGTTTCCAAAGCTGAAGAGCTTTCCAAGCAGGCTGCAAACTATTTACTATCTGACATTTTTTGTCAAATAATCAAGGGCTGAGCATCTTCGTTGTGATGCTGGGAAGGAGTCTGGTGCCTGCCCAGAGCTGGGAGCATTCAGGGTCCAGGAGGAGAAGGTGAGGTGGGTACAGTTTGTGCCAAGTGCCAGCTCACCTTGACCCCGAGGTGTGACCAGGCTGCTCCCACATCAGGATGTTCTCAAGACAAATGCACAAAGCCCGTACCCCTCGGTTGTGCCTGATCCCACAGCCCTGTGAAGATGGACTTCGACTTTGAAGGAGAGCTAAGAAATCACCTTATGCCCCGTTAGCAGTGAAACGACAGGGTATAGCTACCCTTGTTCATCCTGATGCCTGCAGTGCTGCCCTCCTTCCCTCGCTGACTTCCATCCCTCTCCCAAAATGCCCTACAACTCTCTTCCCTCCTATCTCCAACCTTCCAGTTCTTGAAAGGAAGGGACAAAAAAAAAGAAAAGGAGATCAAAGATAAAAATTTAAATTTAAATTAAAAAAAAAAAAAAAAAAGGAGAAGAAATAACAAAAACTGAGTAGTAAAAAGCAGAAGGAATGGCAAAAAGAAGTAGCAAGAAAAGCAGAAGGAATGGCAGAGCGGAGTAATACCAAACTGCGCACCACAACCAAAGCAAGCTACAGAAGTGGGTTCGCAGCAGGAGACAGCAGGCAATGGGTCACCTCGCCTTGGAGGCTCTGGGACCTCCGTCCTGGGACGTGCCCAAAAGCAGGTGGGACACAGCCCTGAGCAAGCTGGCCTGATACGGCTGGAGCAGAAAGTTGGACTGGAGACCTCCCTGGATCCCCTCCAACCTGAATTATCTCGTGGTCTCGTGGTTTGGGCTTTCCAGTGCCCGAGGAAGGCTGTGGGGGAGGCAGCTGCGAGGACAGCGTCCTGCTCACCCCCTCGGTGCGGTGTGGATGAGGAGTGCCTTCCTGCGGTGTCCTGGCCTGTCCTGGGCGTGCACAGCCAGAGGTGCCAAGGACCCACAGCAAACATGCAAATCTCTGATTCAACAGCAGGAAATCCTTCTGGGACGTGTCGGGGGGGAAGAGATACAAGCAGAAAAACGGGAAGGAGATGTGGCATCGCAGCTGGGGGAAGTGGGCACAGCTGCAGGGCTGCGTGCTGCAGTGTCCAGGCAGGGATGGGTCTCTAATTCCAGCACCAGGTGGATGAGGGCTTTGCCTTTTCCATCACCCCATATGCAAGCTTCTGATTTTGCTACGTGAAGTAAAACGGTGAAGAATGGGGAATACGAGCACGGTGAATAGCAGCGTGCGGTGATGGAGTGCGGTGGCACTTAAACACCCGAGTACAAAAGCGAAACTTGCCGTTTGCAGCTCGCAGGAGGCAAGGAGCTGGCGGAAAGCTGGGAGCAGTGGTGGCACCGAGCTTCAGCGTGGGACACTGACCCCGTGGGGGCAGTGGGGGCTGCAAGTCCCTGTTCAGCCCCCGCTCACCTTCCTCCCCATCGCTCCCCATCCCAAATGCCACCCGTGCCAGGCTTGCAGCAAGGTTTCCTTCCCATGCCGAGCACGGCTAAATTAGGGTGGGAAGCCCTTTGAGCAGGAAAGGGCAGGAGGCATCCTGGGGACCCCAGTGAGTGGACACAAAGGCAGGGAGGGGTTCCCCTCGGGACACCCCCATGGAGGTGTCAGGGGAACAGGTGGACCTGGAGGGATGCGATTGCTGAGAGCAGGGGGCAGCTTGTATGGGATTGCTTGGTCTTTTTCCGTTTTTTTTTGTTTTTTTTTTTTTTTTTCCGCCTGTGGCTTTTGAAGGGAATCCTTAATTCCGGGGAAGCAATTTCCCCGATGCTTCATTTCCCACGAGAGGCTGCAGCTCGCTGCTAAAGCGGTGACATTAATACCAGCGGACCTTGGGGATCGCATGGAAGAAAAGCACCCTCCCGGGTCCCAGCTGGCTCTCGGAGCCCTTCCTGGGCTCTGGGGAGGGGGGAAGGCGGCGGCGGGGAGCGGGGCCGGGCTCCTCCCCGGGGCGGGGGGGGGCCGGGGCCGGGCTCGCCCCGCTTGAAGGGCGGCCGCGGGGCAGCGCAGGGCGGCGGAGCCGAGCGGAGCCGGGCGGCGGTGAGCGGGGCTGGGGGGGGCTCCGGTGGGCGAGGGGCTCCCGGGGGCTGCAGGCACCGGAGCTACACCGAGGGGGGGGGGGGCGAGGGTCGGTGGGGTGAGATGGGGGCTGCAGGGGACGGGGGGCTGCTTTGGGAGGTGCCCCCCGTGCGGGGATGGGGTCGGGTTTTTTTTTTTGGGGGGGGGGGTCGTTTTTTGGGTTGCAGCAGCCCCTGGGCTGTGTGGAGGGAAATATTGGTTGGGAAATAGCCGCGGGGAGGTGACCTGCTGCTGTGTTAAAGCGGTGAATGGAAATTTGCACAGCGAGATGCAGACCGGAGGCTCAGCTGGGGGTGCTTTTTGGTTTTAGGAGTGCTTCTAGGTGTCCCCTAGCAGCCCACAGCGGTGTTGTAACCCTGGATTTTAAGTCAGGTTATGCAGACGCTCCAAATGGTGTTGGGGAGGGCGACCCGCAGCAGGGCTGCTTGTCCTGCAGCCTGCAGGAGCAGCTCCTGAGAGCCTCAGCTTTAATCCCCGGAGGAAGTAAAAGTTCATAAAGCAGCTCGGCCCCGCTGAAGGAGTGATCGCAAATGTGGCACGGAGATTATATAAGACGGTTCATCGAAGGAGCAGATGGTGGCAGAGATCTCCTGATTATCGCTCAGACGCCAGGGCTGTGCCGGCAGCCCCAGGGGCGGCTGCTGCGAGCCCAAACTTTTGCAGGCATCATCCCCGGTGCTGTCCCGGCAGGCAGGGGGGGACCTGACCCTAAAAATGCCCTGGGGAGACCCAGGTCCCTCACTGCCCGGCCCCCCCCGGTGCTCCTCTGCGTTTCCTAGCAGGGCTCTCCCCCTCCTCTGAGCTTTGTGTGCCACTTGCAGGGATGGGAAACGGCTCGGCTTATCCACTGGGTTGTCCCATTTTCTGCTCATTCTTCAAAATAATCTTAACTGCGTGGAGATGCTGTCAGATGAGAAACCTGTAAAGTGCAAAAAGATCACCCCAGCCTCTTAATCTCAAATATCTTGAATAGTTTTCTGTGTCTGAGAAAGAACTGATATGTGATGCCTCAGTAAGTGCCGAGATTTTATCTATATGGGTTTTCATGAGCTAATTGAGGCTAATGTGTTCCTGCAGTGCACAGCACAGCAGGGTTTTGCTCGGCGGGTCTGCTTCCTAGGCATTAAAGCAGGGCAAGGGCAGTGGCCGTAAGAGCTTGAATACCTGTCCAGATGATCCTGGCAGATGAAAACATGCAATAGGGATTGTGCAGCTTTTTTTTCAGAGAATAAACTACCTGCCACTCCCAAATAATTGGTTAAAATTACACAAATGTTACCACAAACTTAATTTCAGCCCTTGTGTCCCCATAAGTGTCCACAAACAGACCAAGGAGAAAAAAATGTGCTCTCTTGTGCCAGATTTTGCCTCTGCTCCCATCTCTGCAACCTTGCTGGCATTTTTGAGCTTTAACATGTTTTGCATGTTGGAAATAATCAGAGGATTGTTTTAAGTGCATCATCTCCCAAATAGCTGAAACCTGTCTGAAAGCCGGAAGCCTCAAGCACCCCAGAGTGGTTGTGAATTCCCAGTGTATCCCAGGGAGAGGGGGAGAGGCTGAGGGCATCCGTCTGCACTAATGCTGCCTGGCTATTTTCAAGGATGAAAATACGTACCACTGAAAATCGGTTTTGAGCACATAGTGTGGGTTCTCATAAGTGATATTGTCCTGGCTGTTTTCATTGTTTTTCTTCAAGTCATGGTATTTCGGTCGGCAGGTGTCTCGCAGTGCTAATCATTGGGGTTTTAGATGTCTCCGGCCGAAAGTGGGGTTGTGTGTCTGAGACATCAGAAATTGAAAAGGAATGGGAAAATTACGCAGGGGTGAAACACCTCTTGCTCCCTCTCGCTGTACTTTAAGACACCCCAAGTTAAGAACATCTTGTATCACTGTGCCCAAATGAATATCTGAAGGAAATGGTAAAATTTTCACGAAAGAATGGCTGATGCCATTTGAAAACAGAGCCCTGGCCATAGGGTCAGCTGTGCTGGGGAGCCCCAGTGCTGCTAATGGCTGTTGGAGCAATGTGAAAAGCAAACCCAAGAAGAATCCCATGGGTACTGATGTCTGCAGACCAAGCAGGCTGTCCTGTCTTCAGAAGCAAGGAGCCTTGCCACAGCTCCCTGCTCTGCACGCCAGTGAGCCCTGGTGTGTCTTGGCTGACAAGCATCTCTTATCAGAGAGTGCCGTGGCCACCTTTGTTGCCCCTTTCTGCTGTTTTTCTGCTGCTTTAGTTTGCAGGCAGTTGGAACCTCTCGGTATTTTGGTGGAAGGAGGATGCAGCCAGTACTGAGGACGTATGAAAATGTGACCCCCACCTTTACGCCACCAGCTGTAGGTGCCAGCTGTGGAGCAGCGGCTGTGCTGGATCATTATAATTATGCGTAATTAATTGTGTAACGTTGGTCTGTGCAGAGCCACATCCATTCCTAGCTTTTCTGTCCTTTAAGAGAGAGATGATAGGTTTTTTCTCCTATTTCATAATGATATTTTATTTTTGTGTGCTGCTCTAACATAACTGACTCCAACTGTAATATAGCTAACTCTAATATAATGATAAATGACTGATTTTTTTCATCTGTAGGCCTGAAATTCATCGCCAGCTAGCCAGTTCCTCCCCCCGTAAAGATGACCGAGCTCTTCGACAACCTGTCGTGCCATCACTCCATTGACGACTTCCGAAACCGCGTGTACTCCACGCTCTACTCCATGATCAGCATCATGGGCTTCGTCGGCAACGGCGTGGTGCTCTACGTCCTCATAAGGACGTACCGGCAGAAGACGGCCTTCCAGGTGTACATGCTCAACCTCGCCGTGTCCGACTTCCTCTGCGTGTGCACCCTGCCCCTGCGCGTGGTCTACTACGTCCACAAGGGGAACTGGTTCTTCAGTGACTTCCTCTGCAGGGTCAGTTCCTACGCCCTGTACGTCAACCTGTACTGCAGCATTTTCTTCATGACTGCAATGAGCTTCTTCCGCTGCATAGCCATCGTTTTTCCAGTCCAGAACATCAATTTGGTCACGGAGAAAAAGGCGAAATTTGTGTGCGTCGGCATCTGGATTTTCGTTACCCTGACAAGCGCTCCTTTCCTGCAAAATGGGACCTATCAACATGGCAACAAGACCAAGTGCTTCGAACCCCCAGAAGACTCTAACAAGACAAAGCTGGTTGTGATCCTGGATTTTATTGCCCTCTTTCTGGGTTTCGTTTTTCCCTTTATTGTCATAACCATCTGCTACACCATGATCATAAGGACCCTGATGAAAAATTCCTTGAAGAAGAACCAGGCCAACCGCAAGAAGGCCATCTGGATGATCATCATCGTGACAGCCACCTTCCTGGTCAGCTTCACCCCGTACCACATCCTGCGGACCGTGCACCTCCACGTGCTGCGGCTGAAGAGCGCCAGCTGCGAGGACACCGTGTACCTCCAGAAGTCGGTGGTGGTGACGCTCCCCTTGGCCGCTTCCAACTGCTGCTTCGACCCACTTCTCTACTTCTTCTCGGGGGGCAACTTTCGGAAGAGGCTGACCACGTTCAGGAAGGCTTCCTCCTCCAGCATCACGCAAGCCTTCAGGAAAAAGTTCTCCATAAAAGAGAAGGATGATGAACCCTTCGGGGAAAGCCAAAGGGAGAATGGGAACGCCTCCGTGGCCACGTCGTAGAAGGGCGATGCCTTCGGGTAGGATCTCAAATCGGCAATGGTGATCTCAAAATTGTTCCAGGAGACACAAGCAAGGCCCACAGGCCTTTTTCACGATTATATTTGTAGAAATAACGGTGGACAGTCTCTGATTTCTGCTGTTCTGCTGCAGTGCGGTGGAGCTGATGGCCCCTGCGCCGCTGCTTGGGCACGCGCAGCCACCTCACATGGAGGAGGCACCGGCCAGCAGCAGTAAATTGTTGATCCGATGATAAGTTCATGTAAACACACTTTTCAAAGCCTGTATCGTGTTTGGGAATTCGCTTCGTTTCACAAGTCTGCAAAGAGCGCTAATTCTCTGAGTCAGTGGGAAATGTAAACACAACATTTGCTGGACGCCGCACACGGGAGCTGCTGACACATGAGGAGGGCAGAGTTTTCATTGAATCTTAAAACAGACGCTAAATTATTTACACAGCAGAGGTCAAGATAATTCCTGCCCTGCTCCCAGCTGCTTCGGCTTTGGACTTCAGGTTTCAAAGAGCAGTACACGTGTGAGGCTTGCAGGATGGGTGCCCGGGTCTGTGAGCCCAGCGGTCCCACCCGGACAAGCAGCAACCTGGGCACGCTCTGGTTTGCAGCAGATCTGCAAGGGGGTTGAGCAGCGGGGTGTGCAGCCAAGCTCCTTGGCAGAATTGGCTGTGATGTTAAGCTTGGATACATCTCCTGTGCCTCGGCTGTGCCTCGCTGCTGCTGAGCAGGGGCTGTTTCTGCAAGGCTCCAGTGAAGGCAGCTGAGGCAGCATGTCTTGGTGTTGCTGCACCCCCTTGGGCTCTGCCTGTGGGGAGAGCATCCTCTGAATCCCTAGAAAAATGTTCTTTGTGGGAGTAGCTTTAAAATTATGGTAGCCTAACATGAGTTTGAAATTCATTTCAATAGGACTGGTACTGTAAGTGATGGCTGCAGGATGCAGGTTATCACTCCAATTCTTCAGGACTTTTACCTAAAAATAGCCTATTACTATTTAATTTTTTTATATATTTTTTTATTTTTTGCCTTTTGGAAATATTGACTAAGTTAAAAAAAAATAAAAAATAAAAAAGTAGAAATCATATTTTAAAAATAGCCAAATATGACTGAAAGGTGGTCCCACTCGGGAGTGTTCATCTTGCTGACACCTTGCAGAAGAGATGCAAGCCAAGGCACTGGGAGGGATCTGAGGAGACGTGGACATGAAGAGCCTGAGTGCCGGGTGTCAGTCAGGAGCCCAGATGAGGCTGGACACGATGTCAGCTTGAGTACGGCGTGATGAAAAACCAGATCGAACTCAGTTTCATTTGTAATGAGAAATTTCCAAATCCTGTCCATAAGGAAGCATTCCTGTGGTTTTCCAGTAAATCCAGTGTAAGTGAAGCCAGTTCTGCCTTTCTTTTAGTGGGGCAAAGTTCAGCCCAGGATGCGTGATACATGAGGACAGAAATAGTGTCTGAATCCTAGCAGAATTCTGTAGCTGGAAAACGTGGCTCATAACAAATAGGAAATGTGTTTTAGTGTTGTGGCATTTGTGAAGCTCCTTGATGTCTTAAATAAAGCAAATTGTTTTAATACTGTAAAATAAGAGTGAGCAGAAGGGTTTGGACTGGGAAAGGAGGGGGCTGCTTGAGATTATTGTTACACCTACAGGGAGGAGTAGGTGTTCGCTCTGCACACCACAGACTGCAAATCCCCGGGTCTGCAAAAGACATTTGAAAAAAAAAAAAAAGAAAATTCACCTGCAGAGCAATTCGTGGATGGGACGTTTCAACAAGACCAGAAACATCTTCAGAAAATGTTCAAGATCTACAAAACGTGAAACTGTTCGTGTGGAGGAGCTACAGCTCCCCTGAGCCCCCCTGGAGGGCACAGCTCCCACTGCACTGGTGGAACCACAAACTGCTGGGGGAGACCCACGTCGGCAAACATTTCTGTTTTAAGGGCAGCACCAAGCACGGTAGCTGGGTCCCAAATCCCTGAAGGCATTGTGTAACTGTGAATAGAAATCACCGTGATAAACTGAGGTTTGGAATATGTAGAAATAACATGTACCTTCGCCAGTTTTAAAGTATTGTGTACAGTAAAGCTATATATATATATGTTGCAAAGCATTTTTATTATGCCAGAGATCTCTTTTTTTTCATTGTTTTTATTTTTTTATGACAATGGGTATGACCAGAGAAATGACAGTGGTTTTTTGTTTGTTTGTTTGTTTTTGTACAATAGGAAAGACTGTATTTTAAAGAGGGCTGCTGAAAATTAAATGGAAATGTTGCAAGTTAAACCTGAAGAACTTCTGTTTTCCGTGTCTTGTTTTAAACCCGCTGCATGCAGATCCTTCTCCCCTACAGAAGGTTTCTATCAGTTCACAGCACTAGGGAGCAATATTCCCACAATAATCGTTAGTAATGATGCAATAAAGCCGTAGCAGCACAGAAGCTGGTGGAGCAGTGCCTGGAGCCTGCTGGGGGCTCGTGGCCCCGGCTGTCGGGGTGCTGGAACCACAGGAGGGAAGCGATGCTTGGGTGAGGATGATGTAGCTGGGAGCCTGGCATGTTTCTGTGCAAAAAAAAAACAGTGAGAAGGATGTTTTCGGTTTAGGATTTCCCAATGTACGTGCCAGCTCTGGCAGCTCATGTCCTCTGCTGCCCATGGTCCAGGCACCAGTGGTGGAACTGGGAAGAGCAACTGGAGCTGAGCCATCCCGCTCCGGGGTCTGGGTCAGAAATGCCTGTGAAGGGAAAGTGCGGTGGTGAGCTTCTTGCTTGAAACTGGACTTTTTTTTTTTCTGTTGCATTTGTTGCAATTCGTGGAGCAATAGTGTCACCTAGTGCTTCGTCATCCCTGCGGCTGCTGCCTGGTGCCTCATGCGGGTTCTCTTTGGTTCTGACACGCAAGGCAGCTCCTCACCTGTCAGGCTGCCTCTGTTCCTGTTTTCCTCTGGTGTTAATCATCTTCAGTTCCCCCCTTCCCACCCATTCCCACATTTTATTGAATAATCCTGGGGTTTTCCCTCTCCACCTCCATCCTGTTTTTCCTGGGACATTGCCTGCAGAAAGAGGAATAACTGCCTTTAACATGGGGATGGGAGCATTTTGCATCTATGCAGTGTGGAGCCAGACGGTGCCAAATCCCCATGGCACGGGCACTGCAACCTTGGCATTCGGCAGTAAATTGCCCTTGCCTACCTCTTAGCAAAGGGAACGGTCCAGCCTTTCCCCGGTGCACTGACCTTTCCGTGGCTGGTCTGGCAAACAGCAGTAATCCCTGAGCTAACACAGGGCTCAGCAGGTAGATCAGGCACCTGTGCTGGTACACGTCACGCTGCACCATTTCTGTTTGCTCCAAGATGGAAAAAGAACTGGAGCATCGGACAGACTCCCTGCCAGCTGCCTTGTCGTTTCTGGTTGTGACTTGCTGGGGACACGTTGCCAGCCCTGAGCACTCAGAAACCTTGGCTCAAGCCTTGCAAATCCCAGCTGCCCTAATACTGTTTTGGCTCGCTTTTTGTTTGCTGTTCTGTGCCTGTGCCTGTAGGGTGCAAGCAGGTAACATCTTTGGGCTCCGCTCTGCAACAGCTGCAGCTTGGGATATGGTTTTTTATTATTATTATTATATTTTTTTCTTAAAGCAAACTGAGACTCTCATTCTGAACAGTCTCCTTCAGGAGCCTGGGTCTAAAAGTTGTGGGAAACTGAAGCATCAGCCTCTCAGTTTAAATTTCCATTAATTATTTGCTGAAGCATCATTGTATGTAGAGGTGTAGCTTAACCGGTCAGAGAAATAATTGTACTTGTCAGGCTCAGAGACATGGAGGGAAGAGAGCTGCAGAGACCCTTAATGCAAAGAGCAGGACGCAGAGTTAGGCTGACTTAGCAATGGTAACCACTGCTGGAAACACCTGCGCTGGTGGAAATGTCTGCTCCACACCTCTGCTTTTAGCCAGCTTAAGTCAAGCCACTCAGAGAAAGTGTGTGTGCATTTAAATTACACACGGGGCTCAGGCAGTGCAGCCACTACATTCTGTACGCTAAAGTCTGAAGAGATTAAAAGCGTATTAACGGTTAAAAAATAATAATTAGGTGCCCTGAGCCACTTTTCTTACTGCTGGGTGCCTGTAAGTGTGTGGAGCATCTCCGTGCTGCCTCACCGTGCACAAATGGTGCTTCAAGTCAGACAGTGCTCACTCCCCTCCCAACAGCCCTTGGTTACCCATTTGTGGAGGGGAAAAAAGAAGCAAAAATATATATATAGGATATATTTTAAAAAAGGCAGCTCTCAGCTGAAGCCTGTTCTGTGTAATAGTATATATAACCTGCAGGTGTGAGCATACACAAGGGCTGAGGCTGGGAGGAAGGAGGCACTGACACCTTATTCCCCTTTCAGTTTCAGCACACAAAGCATAAGTACAAGAATATGATGGTGATGGTGTAGTCCCTTTTGAAAAAATAGGGGACTCCAGTCCTTTTCGCAGTGGGGTGGATGGGTGCTTCCCTCTCCTAGTAAATAATGTGAGAAAAACCTGTGCTAACGCAGTGCTCGCAGCAGGCACCAGACCCACTGGGATCACCGCTGCCTCCTGGGAGGACACAAACGTCTCCCTTCCACCAGGAACTTCTTAAAGTGGAACAAAAAGGTCAAATACAAGAAAGAACAGTCTGTGTGATGTGTTGGGTAAGGCAGTAATCTTTTTTTTGGTGCAACATAGCAGATAACATGCAATATTTTCATGGGAAGACATGGCAGGCGAGAAATCTGGGTCTAGCAGATGCCCAGGGAGGGCACTGTGCATCCCTGACAGACTAAAACCTCTCCCTTTTACCTCCTGGAGCACGGTTTTTGGGATGAATTTCTGTTGGAGCAAAGAGCACCATATGGGTGCTGTTTTGTTTTCGAAGGGGCCTAAAGCATGTTTTTATTTGTGCTCACTTTCAGAGAGGGTCCAAAGCAGCCACCTGCTGCCAGAAGCTAACCACAGACTAGATTTCTGTTTGCAAAAACAACGTGATCTTTCTGTTTCCAAGAAAACACGACAAATCTCAGTTTCCAGTAAATCCTGGCCTTGATGGCTCCGCGCTGCTCCTTGTCTCCACTACCTCTGAGCTGCTGTGAGAGCTGCGGGGTGCCACCTGTGACATAAGTCCATGAAGATGGATTCATATTTCTAATACTCGGTGGCACTTCTATCTTGTTTACAGGCCTTCTGAGGTCTTTTATTCCTCTCATTCCATAAGTGTATTTCCTTATCTAACCCTACAGCAAGTTGGCATTTGGATGTTTTAACTCCATCCTATTTTTGCTTGCTATAGGGCCAAATTCCAGTGCCACACACTGGGATATCCAGAAACTCCACACAGGATGCAACCACCCTTACTCTGTCTTCATGGAGTGCCTTCAAATAAAACGCTCACAGGATGCGAGAGGCAAGTAAGCCCTCAGTTTAACAAGCAATAAGCTCCAAGCCCTTGCAATAAGGAGACGTTTCCTGCTCTGTGGGACACACTTGTGCCTGGGGGCTGCACAGTGAGGGGCTGCAGGCACAGGTCCACGTGCTAATGCTTGTGCTGGATCCCAATGTAAGGTTTTCCCTGGATCCACTGCAGCCTGACATTAGCAGAGGGACTTCTTCCATGTGGCTGGAGGGAGAACACTGGGCTCTTTATCCTCCGCTCGTGGCAAAGGAGGGTATGATCTGATTGCTAGGAAAAAAACGAGCAGGAAAAATGAAGGAAAGTACATCAGGCTTTAAAATGCCGTCAGAGTAAGCGATTTTGCTAGGAGTGCACTTGGAATAAAGTGATCACACCATTTTCTTAGACATTTCTTAAAAATGGTGCAGAAAGCAAACCCTAGGGGATGGGCAGCTCGGTGTGCCGCGCCCTGGCACACGGACCAGAAACTTTGGGAACTGAGCTTCAGTTCTCTGAAACCATTAATTTCGGCCCTGCGAGTGGCCACATGCACAAACAAATATTCCGAGTATTTGCAAACATTACTGGAGGGGGAAATGTGCCTGTTTCTTTCCTGTCAATGCAGCTTCTTACGCTTCAGAGGAAGCAAGGCTGCTCTTGGAGCAGAGCGAGGACCCGGTGTTAGTTTAATAAATATATTCCAGATGGATATTCACCAGATTTGGGGGGGAGGGGGAGGGAAGGAGGTAGCAAAAATACCCTCTTTTGATCATTAATGAAAACTCTCCTTCCAGGAATGCTGTTGCATGTCCCTGCGAGGGATGCTGAAGACTAAACAGAGCTTGTTTTCGGTTTAGCCCGCTGGAATCTCTTTCATTTGTGCAGAGCACATCTCTGTGATGCTCCGCATGGGTTTTTGGCCTAAACACCTTTAACCTCAAGACGGCTCCACACAGCCGTCCAGATAAAGCCTTGTGAGATCAAGAGCAAAGGGCACCGAGTTTCGGGATGGCTTTCGGTGCAAGGCAGCATATTTTGTCTAGCAGTGCTGTGTGTGCCGCAAGCAGCTCGTTCTGCTTGCACTAACCAGCAGTTAGTGCAAAATGTGAGCACAGGATCTGGGTCTGCTTGCCTGGCTCTGCCTGCACGGGGAGGAAGACCCCGCAGATCCACTTGGCATCTCCTGGCCAGGGACAAATCCTGCTGCCATGCATGGAAATGCGCTGAAAGCCATCTTACGCTCTTGTCCTTTGGTTCAGGATGGGGAGGACAGGTGGTACGGCATGCAGACGTGCTTGGGTTTCAGCAGATCAAGCCAGATGTGGCAGCAGCCCCTTGGAAATGCCAGAAAGTGGCTCCTCGGTTAGCAGGGGTCTCCTACGGGGGTGGGCTGGGCCTGGCCCCATGCCTGGAAAGGGACCAGGATCAAATCTTGCTCCCTGCTCTCGTATTGAAGTCTCAACCAGTTTAATAGCATGCCTCATGCACGAATTGCACATATCCCAGGAGTCAACCTGGTTCTATTTCCTTTCTGAGTAACTCTGAAATGAGACAGCCCTCGTTTTCTGACCTTTTCTCTCTCCACGTTACTCACAACAGGAAGCCTCTGGAATGGTGAGCATGTACTGCTTACGTGAGTGAGGGCTGAGAAATGTTACCATCATTCTTCAAGAAAAATGGAAATTGAACGCTCCCCGTAATTGGCCTTGAGCCTCTGCCTGCTGTCAGCAGCACCTCCTCCCACCACCTCCATGTCCTTCACCACCCCGACTTACTATGTCAGGGGTTCCCAGGCCTCCTGAGCAGGTTGACGTTCCTCCTCTCCCTTTGCTGGGTGCTCAGGTGGGACAGGCATCCCTGCAGCTCCTGGCTGTGTCAGCAGCATCCTTGCCTGTGCGGGACAGCTCGTGGTCCCCAGCTGCCAAGGCCGAGGAGAGCCACAAGCCTCTGAGCATCCCAGAGGGGCTTGGCAGGGCAGAGCTGGTGCTGACAGGAGGACAGTGGGTCCCTTTTTAGAGCTGGCCCCGACCTGCCATGAAGAAGTGCTGCAATCCATGCATGGAGTCTGCCTGCACTCACCTGTGCTGTGCAGGATTGGAGGGGGCAGCAGCCCTGCGCTGAATTCAGGTGGTTTTCTGCTTCGGGTGCAGCATGATGACTCCTCTCAGGGTTAATCATATCCTGTGGTAGGAAAAACAGACCTCAGGGATGTGAACTAATAAAGCAGAGGCACTGCAGGATGGCTGCCAAGGCCCTGGGGGACTTCTGCACGTCCTGACGTCCTGGGGACTTTCATCTCCTAGCCTACCCGGAACCTCTTCAGGTCTGAATTGCACTGCTAATACCAAGCTGATCTAGCTGAGCTAGGGTTTGATGTCATTGCAATTAAAGCTAAAATGAAACTCTATGAGCTGGGGGTTTTCCAAGGTCCAGCAAATGCCCCAGGGTTTTTGGGGCATCTCTGTCCGTGGCAGAGGAGATTGTAGTGGGTCAGCGTTGGGCAGGGGAAGGAGCAGCAACAGAAATTGGCAGTGATGGCTCAGCGATTGCACCCTTCCAAATCAAATTTCTAAGTACAGTAACTCTCCTGTGGTGGGAAGTCCTTCTGATGAAATAACTCCTGCTCCTTGCACACTTTCAGTGTTACACTGAGCTGACATGAATGTAAAGGCGCTGACCTCACCGCCTTCTGCAGCTCCCAGCAAGAGGTGCCTGGTCTTGTGGCCCCTGCCACAGCAGCCGGACCTGCAGCATGTTATGTATTTTGGTTTTCTGCTGTGTATTGCTACTGGATGTGCCTCTAAAACAACGAGCTGTGCTGTAGAGACACATGCTGGTAACACTTTACACTCATGCAGGGCACATTTTGTTGGTGAAGTGACTCTTAGAGTGAGTTTTGAGAGTTAATGTCATTGCAAGGGAAAAATCATAGAAATATAAGATATTAGGTATCAAGGCTGGGACAAGTTTCTCTATAATAGTGCTCCTGCAAAAAAGCAGGTGTCAAGGAGCAAAACGTCGTAGCTGTGGCCACACCATGTGCAAGGAGCCGCCTGGGTCTGGTGCACGTATCTCTCTTGCTTTGTCTAACCGCAGTACTCCTTGGGCTGCAAGCAGGAGAAGCTGCTCAGCCCCTCCTCCACATCGCTCACCCCCCCAAAAAAAAAACAAGAACTGTGATAATAAAATGTTAAAGTTGAGAATTAATCAAGCACTCGGCCCAGGGAAGCCCAACGGCTGAAGTTTCAATCCCAAATTTAATTTGATCATGCAAGAGGCATGGAAATGCTTCATCCCCTGGTTTCCCTGGATAGCTGAGATCTGTGCAGGTTACCTGGGCTCTAATCCCAATTGCAAAGCTCGTGTCAATACAAACCTTCTGGGCCACAGCCCCTTGGCTTGCTGGGAGAGGGAGGAGATTTGGGGCTGTTTGAGAAAATTGTAAATTGGGGGATTTGCTTGTTTCTTTTTAGTTTATGTTAAACTTTGGGAGCTCTTCTTTATTTCTGCATGTAAACTCTGCAGAACAGCGCTGCCTTTACAGTCCCGGCTTGCATAAACACAGCTTAGGTTCTGCCTGGATGAAGGGATCTATATTTAAATAATCGTGGCTTTTATGATTGTTTTTGCTGCAGAACTCTCTCTATAAATACCAGCCTGCTTATCCGAGGAGGGTGCTGAAAAGGCAGCTACACGGCACGTGAGCAGCGGGCAGCAATGCCGAAAAGCTGCTTTCTCCTCCCAAAGACACACAAGGTTGGCACACATTGTCACAGCAGTCACAGCAGAGGCGCTGGCTCCTGCTCGCAGACCCCGTGCAGAACAAGAGGCCTGTATTTGTCCTAAATGTGTGCTCCATGCTTTTGTTTTTAGCCAGGTGGCCGGAACAGGTGCTGAGGACATGTTCAGGCTGGGGTAGGATTCGGGATTCTGATACAGGCGGCCTTCCTTGGGTGCCTGCCATACCAGGTTAGCCACAGGTACACATATTTCATTTTTGGAGGCTTCCGCTCAGCTCCATTTGAAATTATTAGGATAAACGCAAGCAAAGATTGAACCCTGTTAGCATGGGTCCAGAGGAGGGTGATCCAAGGGCTGGAGCAGCTCTGCTATGAGGAAATGCTGGGAGAGCTGGGGATGTTCAGCCTGGGGAAGAGAAGGCTCTGGGGAGACCTCACTGCGGCCTCTCAACGTTTAAAAGGGGCTTATAAGAAAGATGGAGGGAAACTTTTGACAAGGACATGTAGTGATAGGACAGGAGGCAATGGTTTTAAACTAAAAGAGGGTTTAGATTGGATATAAGGAGGAAATTCTTCATTCTGAGGGTGGTGAGGCACTGGACTGGGCTGTCCAGAGGAGCCATGGGTGCTGTGTCCCTGGTAGCACCCAAAGCCAAGGATGGGATTTGGGCAGCCTGGGCTGGCAGGAGGTGCTGTGCTGACAGGAGGTGGCTCTGGGTGGGCTCTGAGCCCCCTTCCAGCCCAAACCATTCTGTGACCCTACACAAGAAGGCCACTGGGCACTTGCTGCTGGTGCTGTGGTGGCTCAGGCAGCGCCATGACGCTGCCCCAGGCCCTGGCTGCGCTGCTCACCCGTGGGCCCGCGCCTCTGCCACAGCGGGTCTGGCACAGCTCCTGGCAGCTTATCAGCCCCTCTCTTACCACGCTAACAGAAAACCGTCCTCTGCTGCCACTGGGGCTTATCTCGCCCCCAATATCGCAAGAAAAGGGTAACCTCTAACGGGCCCTGGGCCGGTCACTTCCCTGTCACAGGGAGCGACCGCTGTTCCCAGTGTGCGAAAGAGGACATGAGGCGGTGACACACCAGGGCACCAGGCTGCTCCCAGCCCTGTCCATCCTCAATGACACCCTCACACTGCTCCTTAATAATCCCTTTATTTTGCCAAAGCATTGTTCAGGTGGCTCGTTTCAGGCAGGACACAAAGGTTGAAAGGTTTCTCCTGAATCCACAGGAGTGGACCTGAGGGCCAAACACACGGAGCACCACCACGACTCCGTGCATGGCCACAGCTTTGAGCTTTGCCTTCTCTCTTCTCCTTTTCCCATAGATGATGGGAGAAAAAACTCTCGGCTGGCGTCTCAGTGACAAACCCACACTGGGCAGCAGGAGATAACCTCAGTTCTCAGCTGCTCGGGGCCTTGCTCACAGCCTGCAGAGCCACGTGGGCAGCCCTTGCCAGAGCACCAAATGTACAGGGAACTAAGCAAAGCCAGCACTTCACGTTTCTGCAGAGAAGCTTTCAAAAGGGATATAACAGCCCGCACCTCCAGCAGCTTCCATTACAAGGCACTCACAATAGCTGCAACGAGAAAGGCAGCTCAGATTTTTTCATAGCAAGAGAAGATGGGAAAGGTGGGAACAAGCCAATTTTTTTTTCTTCTTTCTCATGCACAAAAGGGTCCTTATTCATTTTAATAGCAGGTTCTCTCACACAGCAATCAGCTCTGCCAGCCAGACAAGGGGAGAAGGGCTCCTTCTGCAGCCACCTCCTGCAGATGACTGCCACATAGACCTTCCCTGAGGATGGGAAAGCAGATCCATGACAATCTCAAAATGGAGAGCATTAGCCCTGAACAAATAAGTAGATTGTAATAATGGATACAATATGGAGGGTTCCTCGAGGAGCCAATATTTGTATTCTTCACAGCTGCATCTTTTTCTGTTTTTTTCTTTTTTTTTTTTTCCTTTTTAGCCTGAAGTGCTCCCAAATGCTTCGTGCCATGTGGCTGCTTCTTATTTGCATCAAAGACCTGATTCATTGCTGCTCTGCACTTTGATAGATTACGTCTGCTCCTGCAAAGCAGATATACAATGCTCGTCGGAGAGCATGGCGAGCCTCTCCTGCAATGGCACACAGCACAAGCCGACACGCTGGGGACAGTGCTCCAGCTCCGAGGTGTCAGCTGAGTGCTGAGGCTGGACGTGGAGCCCCCAGCACCGAGCTGGGGCCCCCAGGCCTCGATCAAGCGAAAGAACAAAAAAAGGGAATGGAAACAATAATGAGGAATGGGGTTATTGTAGGAGAGAGCAAGTAAAAGAGGTTGCTTGGGGACAGTGAGGAAAATGCCAGATAGGAAAGCAATAGTGCTCTGAAGAAAGACAATGGAGAAAGGAGAACTAGAGTGAAACAATTGAAAGCCCATGTTAAAATGGAGCAGAAGGAGCTCTGATCACAGGCAAGCTGTTTTCACAAAGGTGCTGCAGCTTTGTTCGTTTCCAGCTTCGTACACATTTACGGCATGCAAATAAAACTCTTTTCCCCTGCACACATAATTAAGCTGAAACTTTTGGTGTTAACGTTATGCCACAAGGGAGACAGGCTTTTGCTCCCTAAAAGTGAAGGGAGGGGGTAATAGAAATGGGAGGCAGCCAGAAAATTAAGGGAACCTGAGCCACCTGATGGAACATAGGAAACCTGCACCAAATACGCGGCAGGAAACAAGAAAACAAAGCAAGCAAAGCAAGAGCATCACGTTACACTTGACAGTAAAATATTGTCGGATTGCATCAGTTCTTTCTTCTTGGTGTTTCACCTGCAGCTTGTCTAGCTATGACATTTAGCACAAGTTTAAAAAGAGGCTGATATTTCAACAGCGAAACCCTCAGCCTTTTGTCTGATGGAAAAAATCGATTCCAAATGTTGAGTTTTCAATACAGACTATAATTTTGTTACATTCAGATTTATTCTGCTTGCTTGCTTTCCTTTTTGTCTTTTTCCTCGTCTCTGTTCTTCCGAAATTGGCTCTGATGCAATCTTCTTGCTCTCCAAAGCCCCTTTTGCAGCTGTGGTTCATGCAGCAGGAAATGAGCCTCTGCCCTGCCCGGCCCAGGGAGCAAACCTGCCCTTCCAAAATCCCACAAAACAGGACAAAAATGCGGGACCCTTGCTGTATTCAGCATCTTGCAAATTTTATCTTTATGTAAAGCAGCAGTAAAGCGTGTTCCTGAGTTGTCTTAAAACATTTTCCAGTCTAGTTTATAAAAATTGGTGCTGAACTCATTTTGGCTTGCTCCTTTTCTCGCTAGCGCATGGACAAGCATCCTCCAGCTCTAACATGTTTAAATTATGGGTGTTTTGAGCATTTCTGAGGATCCAGCTACTCGGATTTCTTAGAAATATGACCACATTCATGTCGGGCCAGGCAAGCAGACCTGATTTAGCTTCACTGGCGCTGCTACCAGGTCAGCTGCAGAACTGCCTGCGTATTTACCCCGGGAGCAATGACTCCAGTCCAGCTCCTCGGGCTTGACTCTTCCCACCCCTGCAGCACCCGGTGCGTCTCCTGTGTGCCCGGTGCCACCGGGCTGCAGGGCTGGCACCGGCTCCCTCCCACGTGGAGAAGCTGGGTTTACTCAGCTGGGTGCTTTTGTGCTGAAGCAAAAGGTAAAAGTGCCACGTTACGTTCACTTACCCCTGTATTTGCTTGGGCCTGCCTGTTGCCAATGCTTTGTTGCAGCACGGCGCTCTTCACTGGTGTTTTTTTTTTCTTTGGTTTGGCTCTTGGCTTGGGGGAAGAGTTATAAAATTAGGGGTAAACACAGCTAGTGTTTGGAATTAGACTGAATCGGGATATTTGATTCCTATCTGGGCCCTGGCTGAACAATCAGGGGAGGAACTAAGCAGAGAGAGCCTGCAGAAGGTGGGGAAGGTGCGGGTGAGGCCGGGCAGGTGTCCCACGTCCAGCTCCTCGCCTAGCGGTGCTGTGCAGCAGCAGCATCCCCAACCTGGGGACAAAGAAACAAGCAAGAGCTGCCTGGCTTCCCATGAGGACAACACCTGTGGCAGGGCAGTGCTTGGGGCTGGCACCCCAAAGCTCGAGGTACCCTCAGCCAGGCTGCTCCGAGGCTCTGCAGGGCCAGCAGGGCCGGCTGCTCCGAGCCCGCTCACAACTGGTGTTTTTCCCTGGGTCCTCCTGGCTCCCTGAAGCAAATAGCAGGAGCGAATGTGTTAATTACAGGGGCCGAGTTCAGTGAGGAGTCAGAGCTGCTGCTAAATATACGCAGCCAGCCATTCGGCTGAACACGGCCGGGCAGCCAGACGCGCCCGACTTTCACAAACAAACACCGTGCTGCACCTTCAGCCTCCGGGGACTCGGTCGGCTTTGAAGAGGCCCTTTCAGCTGCTTTCCCCCTTCATTTCAAAAGCTGCCGGGGCACAATTAGTTGGCCACAGCTGACCAGCAGCCTGTGTCGAGCTTCAGAGGAGTCGTGCTGCCTTTCTGCACTCCCGGGCATCGCTGGCATTATTCACAGCCGTCCCCGCTCCCCAGGTCCCAGCAGCTAGTGAGGATGGTGAGGGTGAGCGTGGCTTCTCCTCCTCGCACGTGGAGAGGTCAGCAGCAGGGCTGCAGCGAGGAGCCAGGGTTTAACTCACTTCTCCTAGCAGGCCCTGCTGGGTTTCCAAGGAACTCGGTCAAATCTGAAGACTGGGACGAATGAAGATGCAGGGTGTAGCCTGGGGCCAGGACACACAGTGTTTACACACAGTCTGCTCCATATAATAAGTGAGAGAAAGAATCATAAAACAGATGTTCTGTGCAAAGTGCAAATTACCCAGGCGCTGAACTTCATTCCTTTCCACTTAAAACACCCATAAATGCATGGTATGTTTATTGTGGGTTGCAACGGGGTTTGCTTTTTGTTTTGCACCTTTATCTTTGACTTTGTAACAATAGCAATGTTGATATAAAAATAATATTCTAGGACTTCATGTGTGAGTTTTCTGGAGAACTTCTTTGCAAGATGTTTCTGGTCTGCAGTGGTGGGGAAGGCACCATTGGGGAGTTTCTATGTTCTGCTTGGAGAAAGAAGCACAAACAGCAAAACACAGAGTCCATCTGCATCACCTGCCAGATTTTTCTGCCAATTCAGCCTGGCCAGTCTGTACTGATAACAAGAACTGTCTTCTTTTTCACATGCGTCCTTTTCTTTCTATAAGGAGACCACTGGTTCCAGCTCTACCACATCACAGCGCCCGCTGAAATAGCAAGAAATACAGCAAACGGAATTGGACTGAAAAAAAAAAAATCCAAGCTTAATTTCTTCACTTAAAATTGCATTATTTGGTAATGATAGAGTGTACACATCTACAGAGCATGGAATGAAGTGCTAGAATAATTCAGAGCCTCTGATGGTATCTCCTATTTGCTTAGATAGCGTCGGTTAATGTTAAATCACCTCTGCTGGTGACGACTTGCTTCTGGGGTTCTATGGCAAAGAAATGGCAAATTCTCTGGACGAGAGATGCCTGCACCTGTGCATGTAGAACAGGAGGCATGTTTCATATACCTGTAAGGGAAACTCCTGCTCCCAGTGCCCTACAGGCTTTTCCCATTGTGCTTTTTTTCCCAAATATACAGCACGGAGTGCTGTTTTGCTCTTGATGGACCAGATCCTCAGCTGGAGAAAACACTCCTAATTGCATTGGGGTGGATGGAGCCGTGCCAACACACACTGGCTGAAAACCTGCTCCATTATACACTGTTTACTTTTGAGGATCTAAGCACACACGCTTCCAACAAAGTTCTGTTTGATAAAAGTTTGTTTGCCAGGTTGCCTTGCCTCGGTCCCTCCTGAAAGTGTACACAACAGTATTTTGTATATAATAAGAGAAAATGAAGTGAATGTGTTCCAAGACCTTGTTTGCAGGTCCTAACGAACTCAAGAGATGGGCGGCTTTGCTAGACACTAGCTAAAATAACCACAATCATAATTATTATTACCATGCAAGTATGGAAAAAAAGAAGTTTTTATTACGGGCTGGAACTAGAAACCCAGAGCAGCTGCTAATCATCATGATAAGTGAGTTGTTGGCTTGGAGTTGGTGTTTTTTGTGTGTGTGTGTGTCCGGGTATTTACTGTACCCGACTGCAAGCAGAGTTTTTTGTTACCCAGGCCTCTTGGTAACCTCTCCACAGCCCCCCCAAGTCCCCCTGATGTGCAGTACAGAATACCCTGTAATTGTAATTTTCCTCTTACCTCACTTTTCTCCCCTTTCTTGTTGAAGGCTTCCCTTTTCCATTTCTTTACTTTCTTCCTCCACTTTTTTTTTGTTTGTTTCTTTCTTTCTTAACTCACCTACAGCAGCTGAATTAGCAAAGAAAAAATAGATTACAGTTCCAAATTTTCTAATGGAAGAATGGGCATGTTTTTGGCACTGCTTCTTGCCATTGTTTTGTTAAGACCGACTCTCCTTAACTCTCCTTTTCCATCCCAGAGACTGCCCTTCCTTTATAAGCCCAGATTTCTTCCCATTTGTGCTCTCTTCCCTCCCTCCTGACTCATTTCCACTTCCCATTCTGGCTGTTTCTTTTCTCTTTCCTTTTCCTTCCTCCAAATGTTTTCAGATCTTATATTCTGCTATTTTTAATTCCTTCTTCCCAGGCCCGGATCCACCCCAGACCCAGCAGCGTTAGCGTCTGTGCCTCTCTGCCTTCTTCTCTAGACGGAAAGGACTGCCTGGGCAATCATTTCCTCAAATTTCAGCTTTTTCTAATCCCCTAGTGACTCGAGATGAGCAGTGGTTGCCTTTGTGTGTGAAAGGTGGCGTCACCACTGTCCTTGTACAGTCCTTATGGCTCTCCAGGAATTTCCAGGAAAATATAGCTCAATCTCCCTCCCCTTGACTCGATCCATTCTGTCCTGTAATTTTTGACCCGTCTAACCATGGCCTTCTTTCCAGGCAGTTTGGTCACTCTGCTACCCATGCCAAATATTTCTTCTCTACAGCTTTGCCATCTGGAACAGCCTGCATGCCTTCAGCCTCGCCGACTGGCCATATAGTTTCTAGTTTCAGCTGAAAAGAATTTTCCTTTACTGTCATCCCATAGCAATCTGAATGTCGGATGTAGGCAGCAAACATTCAGTCATTTATTTTCTGCGGTGTGGGAATAGTTCTCGTACTTGAAGCAATTTCAGTTTTAAAGGAGCCCTGGAGCTTGTGGAATGTGGGCAGTTTTTAGATCTTTCATCCTAAGTCTCACTAGCAACTGGCTACGGTTTCTGTATGCTTTTCCACCAGACATCCTATTTGCTGGAATTGCCAGTGAATACCTTGCTATTACAAAAAATATATTTAGAAGGGAAAATTAAGGGGGAAAAATGATTTTAATGAAAGGCAGGCAGGAAAGGAAAAGGATTTTTCTGAGTGCTAAAATACTGCATTATTACCTACAAAGGAATTCTTGTAATAACCAAAGCTGGGAGGTCCAATAGCCTTCAGTGCAAAGAATGCTCAGCATTCACCCCCAAAGACCTTCTTTATTCTGGATATCAGACACAGTGTGCTCATGATGGGGAATCAGACCTCCGTATATCACACAACACCAGTAGTCGTAACTTCTAAGGTTTAGCTGGCAACGAATAAATACCGAGCCTGCAAATTCAAAATAGCCCTTGAATTACTGCCTCGAATTCAAGCTTCCAAATCACATCCTGATGGGTCTTTTTCAGAGATCTCCCCAAAGTACAAATATTTCACTTCAGAACTGAAATCCCCGGGGCGCTAGCTACGCTTCGCTGCAGATTAGCTAGAGCCTGTGGAGTTATAAGATTCCTGAGATGGAGTGCTGAAGATTCCAGGAATTCTCTCAAAGGTGAAATGATTAACCAACCTTTCTTTTGTTCCCAGAGCACAACAATGCAGAAAGCAGGTCTGCATTCACTGACTCCTGTGCTAAACTTATCTTCTACCATATCTGAAGTGTTCACAAGCCTTAAATCTGAGCTGGAATTAAAGAATCTCTTTTCAGAATTATTAGTGAAATCAGAAGCTGAATATTAGTGATGAAAGTAAGACATGAGTTAGAGCAGCAGCTTATTTTTCTGCTGAATCTTTTTCTGGAGATTTCAATCTATTTTATGGGCATAAAGAATTATTAATGTATCTTTGACGATAATAATAATTGCGATGTGCTGATCCACACTACTCCACAGGGCAAAAGCCCTGCTCCTCTTCTGTACCAGAATCAGGCCAGTGGTCACATGTGAGCATTAAAACTTTTGGAAGCAGTAGAAAGAAGAAAATTCAGGGCATAGACCGTGACAGAGCTTTTGCCAATGATCTCGTCAGGAGGAAGAGGCTGCCCCTCTTCTCCACCTGGAACTGGCCATCGACCCAGCTACCAAATGTTGCTTTTCAGATCAAAAAGGTGCAATGAGCTACTCAGATAAAGAAGCTCTTGTACATCTTCTGAGCTTAAATAAACAGGGGTGAGAGCACAGACTGCAATGAAAAGGTAACAGGCTCCTTGCAAGAGCCATCATTTAATGTGCCCGTGGTGTTAACTCCACACCTTATCTACACTTTCGGTGCTACACACTGACAGCATTGGCCCCTCTTCTTCCCCAAACAAATATAAAGGAGCTTTGTTCAAAATCTTTAGTGGAGTTTTACCAAAGATCAAATGCAACAAAAGAGAAGGAAAGGGCTAACACTGCAGCAAGGGCCCAGCACAGGACACAACCTGAGGATGATTTGACCTGTTCTTTGCTTGCTTTGTTTGCAGAGAACATACTCGCTATTTTAAGTAGAATTAATTGTGAAGTTATGCTGATTGTTTTGTGGCATTTATTTACCAATGTAAGTTATTAGTTATCTAGAAATTGAGCAGAAGCCGCCACCTCTGGCCTTCCTTAACACTGCTTGCTTATTTACAAGATGGATGGGAGTTTATTTTGGTCCTGTTCAGCACGGGCCGTCCAGTATGTCACATTAACCACTTCCACTAGTCTCGAGAGAGAAATTCTCTGGCATAAAGGAACAATTTCTTCTATTCATTACAAAACTTCCTATACTCATTAAAAACGTATCTGAGATCCACCCAGGGGTAAGTACGTGGCAGCTCATTTTGAAAGGCCAGTTTTTTTGTCTGTTATACAATTTGCATCCCGGCCTTGAGCCTAACTTTTCTTCAACGCTGGCGTGACTGGCGGTTTAGTTGGGGCTCCTGTACGAATACAACCAACAAATTTATTTTGCACCTGCACAGAAACCGGGTCCAGACTGCACACAAGCGTTCCCTGACCTGCGGTTCAGCTGTAAAATGCCAACGGGGATTTAAAAGCTGCATGGTGCTGCTCGTCTACATGAGGGTGTGAGGTGTGAAGCCCCATCCGTACCCCAACCCCATCCCCATCCCCATCCCATCCCTAACTCCATCCCCATCACAACCCCAACCCCATCCCAGTCCCAAACGTGATCCCAGTCCCAAACATGATCCCTACCCCATCCCCATCCCATCCCTAACTCCATCCCCATCCCAACCCTAACCCCAACCCCATCCCAGTCCCAAACACGATCCTAATCCCAAACGTGATCCCAGTCCCAAACACAATCCCAGTCCCATCCCAGTCCCCAATCCCATCCCTAGCCCATCCCAACCCCAACCCCATCCCAGTCCCCAACCCCATCCCAGTCCCGAACACGATCCCTACCCCATCCCCATCCCATCCCAGTCCCCAACCCCATCCCTATCCCATCTCCATCCCCAACCCTATCCCACCCCCATCCCTATCCCATCCCCATCCCCATCCCCACCCAGTCTCCCGGGCCCCCCCCCACTCCCCTCTCGGCCCCCCCCCCCCCAGCCCCCAGGCCACCTGCGCTCAACCTCCACCCTCCCGCTCCACTTTGTGCGGCAGCGAGCGGCCGCGTCCCAGCCTTGTTTGGCGGCCCGTGGGTTGCCGCGCCCGCCCGCCCCGCTCCCGCCGCCGCTGCCGCTCCCGCCCCTGCCCAGTCCGGCCGGCCGGCGGCGCAGGCGCAGTGGCCGCATTCCATCATGGCGGAGCGCTCCGTTGGCGGGCGGCAGCGCCGCGCCTGAGGCGGGGGCAGCGGCGCCGCGCACGGTCAGTGCCGCCCCGGGGCTTCCGCGGCTCCGAGCCGGTTCTTTGGGACGGGATGAGACGGGACGGGACGGGGCAGGACGGGATGTAACGGGACGGGAGGGTGCAGAGCAGAGCAGAGCGGTGGCGGTGGCTCCCCGCCCGGGGTGGTGGCGGTGCGGGGGCAGCGTGAGGCAGGGGCCGGGCTGCGGGGGGCTGCGGGCGCTGCTCGCGGTGCCCCCGGCTGTGGTGGGCTCCCGGTAGGCTCCAGGTGGGCTCCCGGCTCCCCTTTCTCTCCCTTCCCTCCTCCCTCAGCGCCCGCAGCCCCCCGTGCACCCCGCTCGCTGCCGGGGGGCTGAGGGGGCCGCGAGCCGCCCCCGTTCCCGTTCCCTTTTCCCCCCCCAATTCCCCATTCCCAGCCCCGCCGGCCCCCCCCTCAACCCCCCCCCCGCCGCCGTTCTCCCCGCTGCCTGCGAATGCCACGTCGCCTTCTGCCTCAGCTGCCTGTTCCCCTTCAGCGAGCCGGCTCCAGACGCCTCCCCCCCTGCTCCTGCCGGGCTGGGGCTGGGATGCTGGCACGGCTTTTGGGGGGTCCCGCAGCCCCCCGACCCTCCCTGGGGCACGGCGGAGCTGAGGGGACCCCGCTGAGGCCGCTCTCTGCTCACCCCGTTTGGTGCCTGCTGTGCTGCGGCCCTCCACGGCCGCCTTCCTGCTGAGGACTGGGGGAAGCTGTAGGGTTTCGCAGCCCCCCAGCCCCTGCAGCCCCTCTGCTGTTGTCCACGCGCTGCAAAAACCCCGTTTGCCGAGCCCCGACGCCTCGCTGGCAGGTGGATCTGCGTCCTTCCCCAGCTATTCCCTCGCTTTTGCGCCTGGGGTTTGAACCTTGCTGCTCAGCCCTCGCGTTGGAGCGATGGGGGCTTTTCCGTAGGTGCTTCTGCAGCCCCAGCTACCGTAAGTTGCAGTTTCTGTTGATTCCTGGAATAATTTATCTCTCATCTGTCCCGTGGCGGTGAGGTCTTCAGTGTTGTCTGTCATCCCGTGCTTCACCTGGTGCCTAATTGTGAGCACGGACACGGTGCCTGCTGGCGTGCCGATGGCCACGCGCCTGTCGCCTGCGATTCCTGCTGCATCTTTAATGTATTTATCGCTACAAAACCTGGTCCGATAGGGAAAGACTATCTCGGTCACAGATGGAAAGACTGAGGCACAGGAATATTTA